CGGAGAATCGGGGCCAACGCGAGCTAAACGATCGATCACCTGCTGAAGCTCGCGGCAATTACCTGCACCAATACTGGTCATGAGTAATCCTGAATCCGCAAGCTCAAGCCAGATTTGTGGTTATCGAATGCCGCACGAGGCTCCCCGAGAGCCCCACTATCGCGTCGAGGGTATTAGCGGAATAATGGCCGAGAGGTTCAGTCGGACAGAAGTTCTCTGCAATTGCGAGAGTTTGTCGTGAACCGTCGCCCCCCCACAATTAGAATGCAGCCCCCCAACCCCGGGAGCAGAGGGTACGTCGTCCTTTTTTTTGCTGCTCTCCACCCCCCTGCCCTTGCTGGTGAAGTAGAACGGAACGGGAAATGTCTCAGGAAGCATCTACCAACGACGCCTTGCGCGAAGAAATCACTGAACTTGGTGAAATGCTCGGCCGCACGATCCAGGAGATCGCTGGTCCAGAAAGTCTGGAAACCGTCGAGCTGGTTCGTAAGCTCTCGCGCGAGCACCGTGGGGGGAACGGTCAGGCTGAGGAGCAACTTCGCTCCACCTTGGCAGCGCTCGATGAGAATCAACTTGCCGTCGTGATTCGCTCCTTCAGCATGTTTCTCGATCTCGCGAACTTGGCTGAAGATCGGCAGCGGGTGAGGGTACTACTCGATCGGGCCATCAAGGTCTATCCAGAGCCTCGAGGGGAATCGATTGAAGCCGCCCTACTCCGCTTAAAGGCGGCCGGTAAGACCGCCGCCGACGTTCAGGAGCTGCTGAATCACTTGAAGATCGAGCTTGTGTTCACGGCACATCCTACCGAAGCCAAACGTAGGTCGGTCCGTCGCAAGTTGCGAAAAATTCGCGAATTGCTAACCCAGGGAAACATCATCAAGCTTCCCGAGGAAAAAGAGCGAAACCGGCGCTTGCTGCGAGCCGAATTGGCAAAGTTGTGGCTCACCGATTTCATTCGACCTTGGCGTCCGACGGTTCTACAAGAGGTGCGGCGGGGTCTGTCGATCAAGCCGGTGCTGTGGGAAGTAACGCCTCGTATCCTCAAAGAAACACGCGATGCGCTAGCTCGAGTGTTTCCTGGTGAGGAATTCGACGTTCGCCCTTGCGTCATCTTTGGTTCCTGGATCGGCGGCGATCGGGATGGGCACCCCCACGTCACGGCCGACATCACCGAACAGACCGTTCTTTGGCTGCGACAAGAAGCCCTTGAGTTTCATCGCACGGCTTGTCGCGATTTGTACGAGTCGTTGAGTCTTTCCAGTAGGAGACTCTCGGTAGGCGACGAGATGAAAAAGAGCCTGGCCGCTGCGATTGCCCGGTGGCCTCAGCTTGAGAGCGAACTTTCCGAGATTCCTCCCGACGAAGTCTTCCGTCGCTGGTTGGGGGTGGTGCGATGGCGTCTTAAACAAACCGAAGGAATGAGCCTGGAAAGCTTTGGAATTGAAGGTGCTTACGCCAGGAGTAGCGATCTCGAGGCCGATGTGCTTAAGCTGCATCGCGCGCTGAACAAAGCATTGGGCAACGATCTCCTTGCTGAGGAAGTTGAAACTTGGATCGATCGGATTCGAATTTTTGGTTTTCATCTCGCACGCCTCGACATCCGACAAGACTCGCGGCAGTACGAAGGAGTGATGAACGAACTGCTCGAGAAATCAGGGATATGTGACAAAGTTGCCGACTTGAGTGAAACCCAGCGGCAAGAAGTATTGTCAGACTCTTTAACCACACCGGTTGACCTGAGCGACCAGCCACTCTCGGATGATGCTCGCGAGACGCTGGCACTCTTTAGTTTACTGAAGCGAATCGTTGCTGCTTTTGGGTTGCAAGCACTTGGTGGTCATGTTGTCAGCATGACTCGTGTGCCTAGTGATCTTCTCACCGTGCTATGGCTTTGGCAGCATGCAGGCTCGAATCTCAACTCCGAATCGCCAGAACAGCTCCCGCCGCTGCCGATGATTCCGCTGTTTGAGACCATTGTCGACTTGCAGGAGGCTCCTGCGATCATGGAGTCGTTGCTCAGTGTGCCTTCGTATCGCGAGCACCTCGAGCGGCAGGATAACAAGCAGATCATCATGCTCGGCTACTCGGACAGTACCAAGGATGGTGGCTATCTCTCCGCCTGCTGGTCGTTGTACCGATGTCAGCAAACCTTGCACGAGCTGGCCTCACAGCAAGGAATCGAGCTGACCTTCTTTCATGGCCGTGGCGGATCGTTGGGACGAGGTGGTGGGCCTGCTGCCCGGAGTATCCTTTCACTCCCAACGCGTACTTTCCACGGTTCGCTTCGACTTACAGAGCAAGGCGAAGTACTGGCCGATCGTTATGATGATCCGCGGATCGCCTATCGCCATTTCGAGCAAGTGATTTGGTCCTCGCTCTTGGCAAGCGGATTACCATCGCCGGCCATTCCCGACGAGTGGTACGAGGCCATGGATACGCTTTCGGAGACCTCGTTCAAGGCTTATCGCCAACTGGTTGAGCGTCCTGGTTTCGTCGAGTTCTTTCGCAAGGCGACCCCCATTTCGGAAGTCGAGCAGTTGCAGATTGGATCGCGTCCGTCACGGCGCCGAGGTGGTAGTAGCCTCAAAGATCTAAGGGCTATCCCCTGGGTTTTCTCGTGGACACAGGCTCGCTATATGGTTCCTGCCTGGTACGGAATCGGGAGCGCAATAGAAGCGTTCGTTGATGATCCAGATTTGATTGGCCGACTACAGTCGATGTACCAAGAGTGGCCGTTCTTCAGAGCTACGGTTGATAATGCCGAGCTAGCCCTTGCTAAGGCTGACTTGAGAATTGCCGCGCGCTATCAGAAGTTGGCGGACGACTCTGAGAAGCTCACCGAGATCGGGCAGCAGATCTCCGACGAGTTCGAAAGTTCGCGGCGAGGCATTCTGGCAATCACTCAGAATGACCAGTTACTCGATGGCACGCCATGGCTGCAGGAATCGATTCGGCTTCGAAACAGTTACATCGATCCATTGAACCTGATTCAAATCGAGCTACTCCGTCGCGCTTTCTCGAAGTCGAGCGAGGAAACTGAAGAGGATGAGACGTTAAGGCATCTGGCTCGTTTCACCATCAACGGACTTGCGGCTGGGATGCGCACTAGCGGCTAGTTCTGTTGCCTGGCTGCACTAGACCCAACTTAGTTCGCCATTGGGGGGGCGTTCACCCACCCACCCACCCACCCCCAAACAGTGGAGATATTTCGTCCTTCTCAACCGCAATATCGGGTGGTCGCGCCCGAAGTACCTTCGATTGCCTTTTCTGGCATGCGTGACCAAAGTTCAGTTTGAAGGCTAATCGACCGCCACTCTTCGATGCTCTGCTGCGTAAGGCTAATCACGGGGCTTTATAAGTCCATGCGGGGAATGGATTTGCCGCGCACGGCCGCCTCCTTGCAGTGCCTTGGCATACTCTTTGCTTTTGATGCGGTTCCATGAGTGTTAAGCGCAATTTCGCGAGCAACTCTCTGAGAAATGAACATCACCCTTAAGCAAGGAGACTAGTCATGGGTAACGAAGACAAAGCTGCCGGAAAAGTGAAACAGGCGAAGGGTAAAGCCAACGAGATCGCCGGCGCTGCGAAGGGCGACACTAAGCAGGAGCTGAAAGGAAAGGCTCAGAAGGCGGCGGGGAAGGCTCAAGAAAAGTTGGGCGAAGTCACCAAGAAGTAGCCTTGCTCGCCTGAATTCTGCTGTTTCCTCGCAACCAAATCACAGGAGTTTGTCATGCGTAAGTTGATGTCCACTTTGTTCGCCTCGGCAATGCTGTTTGCGTTTGCTGGGTGCGATGTTGATGTCGAAGAGCCTGGTTCTTTGCCCGACGTCCAAGTCGAAGAAGGTGAGATGCCGGAGGTCGACGCCACGGCCCCTGAGATCGACGCCGAGATGGAAGAGACGACCATCGAAACGCCTGATGTCGATGTGGATATCCCGGAAGAAAACGAGCAATAGGTTCAGAGATGCTGTCAATGCAACAGACAAGTTCGCGAGCTAATGCATTTCCTTCGCTGCCTCCGCAAGCGACTGGCTTGAAGCGCACGCAGGGCAATGTTGAATTACCCTGGGGGCTCCTGCGTTCTTCAGGCCAGGATCAGCATGCGGCCCACACACAGTGGATCTCTCGCACGCGAAGGTTGGCCAGCTTAATGGATGCAGCCTGGGGGATCCCCGGCACTAAGTTCCGATTTGGAGCCGACAGCGTGTTGGGCTTGATCCCGGGGGCTGGGGATGCAGTGACCGCCGGTATTTCAGCTTACTTGCTCTATGAAGCTTGGCGGCATGGGACGTCCAGTTGGACGCTTGCTCGCATGGCGGGAAACATCCTGATCGACCTCTTATTCGGCAGTATTCCGCTGTTGGGCGATGTATTCGACTTCATGTGGAAATCGAACCAGCGAAATGTTCGGCTTCTCGAGAAGGAATTTGCTCACCTGATCGAGAAGCCGGCGACGTATAGCTAGATTGCTGTGCCGTTCCTCGCACTTATTACAGGAGATTTGCAGTGTCCACTGCTCAGCCTGAAAAAATGGATGTCGTCCGAATATTACTTTCCATCCTATTGCCGCCCGTGGGAGTTTTCCTTGAGGTGGGACTTGGGTTTCACTTCTGGTTGAACATCTTGTTGACCCTTCTGGGTTACATCCCCGGAATTATCCATGCGGTATGGATTATTGTCACAAGATAACGCGGTTTCTCGACGAGATTGGAGAGAACGATGAGTAGTTGCGACTGGGGATTGTGCGTTGATTGCAAGTGGTGGCAGATCGAGCCGGATGCGAAGGTTGATCCGCACACCGTTGGTTACTGCATCGAAGAGAAGTTGCAGCCTTACAAATTACGCATCGCCGGGAACGGTGGGTGCAATTTGTTCATGGAAGGGGAGCCCGCTCGCGCTGCAGGTTCTAGCGAGAAACCGCCCGCTGCTGCCCCACAACGGTAGTGGTCGTCTCGTTCTCAGATAACTCTGACCTGCTATTGAAAATCTGATCCAGGTGTTATGAAGGTCTTTACGCATGTGAGCGAGGAGACCGAGATGACGACGAAGCGACGTAAGCGGCATACGCCGGAGCAGATTGTTCGTAAGTTGCGAGACGCGGACGCGATGCTCAATGCTGGGAAGGACCAGGCTGCTGTATTGCAGGCCCTGGAAGTGAGCGAAGCCACGTATCTGTGTTGGCGAAACCAGTACGGTGGGATGAAGGCCGAGGAGGCGAAGCGGCTGAAGCAACTGGAAGACGAGAACAGGCGGCTGAAGGAGTTAGTGGCCGAGAAAGAACTCGACATCAAGATGCTGAAGCATATCGCGGAGGGAAACTGGTGAGCCCTTCCCGGAAACGAGCGGCGGTCGGCGAGCTGCGCGAGGTGTTCGCAGTTTCCGAGCGAAGGGCGTGTCAGGTGACTGATCAGCCACGCAGCTCTCAGCGTTACCAGCCGCAGTCTCGTGATGACGAAGCGGCTTTGGTGAAGCGGATGCGTGAACTGGCCGCCGCTCGACCGCGTTTCGGTTATCGTCGGATTGCCGTGCTATTGCGTCGCGAAGACTGGGAGGCCAGCAACACGCGGGTGCTGCGGCTATGGCGTCGCGAAGGGCTGAAAGTGCCACAGAAACGCCGTAAGAAACGCTACTTGGGCGACAGCAGCCAAGCCTGTCACATTCAGCGAGCCGAACATAAAGACCACGTGTGGTGTTGGGACTTTGTGTTCGATCGCACGGAGGCCGGCAGCCCGTTGAAGTGGCTATCGATCGTCGACGAGTACACGCGGGAGTGTTTGGCTTTGAAAGTCGACCGCAGCATCACCAGCGAAGATGTGATCGACTCGTTGGCCGAGCTGTTCGCGATGCGGGGCGTGCCCGGTGCGATTCGCTCGGACAACGGCCCGGAGTTTGTAGCTGGTGCAATCCGGCGATGGCTAAAGCAAGTCGATGTCGAAACGCACTACGTCGCGCCGGGCAGTCCATGGGAGAATGGTTACGCGGAGAGCTTTCACAGTCGGCTTCGCGATGAGTTCTTGGAGATGGAAATGTTCGAGAGTTTGGCCGCGGCACGGAAGCTGACCACGGCCTGGAGAAAGGATTACAACGACGTGAGGCCGCACAGTTCGCTGGGGTATGCCACCCCGTCCGAATTCGCGACCCGCTGTGCTGCTTCCGTTCCGAAGTCGATTTCGGCTACGCCTCAATCAACTTCTCCACTCCAGCAGCACAGCGAAATACCCCAACCCACACCTTCATAGCAAGTGGTACAGAAATTTAAGGCTGGTCAACTCGCTACAAGCTACGTACGGCCCGCTAGTAAAGGGGAATCAGAATGAATATCTTTGAAGCAATTCGAGAAGATCACGAAAAACAACGGACACTCGTCGATCTACTTGTAAAGACCCATGGTGATAGCGCAGGTCGCGACGAACTTTACGAGCGCCTTAAATCTGAGCTCGAACGCCATGAGCGAGCTGAGGAGCGGTTTTTCTACGTACCGCTGATGGAGCAAGACTTAACGCAGGAGAAGGCTCGGCACAGCGTAGCTGAGCACCATGAAATTGATGAACTTCTGGAAGAGTTGGAAGAAACCGATCGCAGTTCATCAGGTTGGCTCGCTACCGCCAAGAAACTAGGCGAGCGATTAATTCATCATCTCGACGAAGAGGAACATGAAGTCTTTCAACTTGCTGGAAAGGCGATGTCTGAGGCTGAGACAGAATCGCTAGCTACAGAATACCGGAAAGCCATGGAATACTCGGAGGAGTAGCCGTCGCTTGATCCCGCCTAATATTAGTTGATGTCTCGGTGGCCAACCCTGAAGTACACCATCTTTCTACTCTTGCTCTGCTGGTAGCTAGAAGCTTGATTCAAAGACTACGATCCTTTAAGGCAAATTCCTCGTAATTATTGCCTGGTGTCTGGGTTGGACGATATGATTGTGCGAAGTCCAAAGCGGCACGAATGATGGACATAGCATTCTTCCTTACCGTCAAATAAATAGTAGACATCTAAGAAAATGCAGCACCATCAGCGGATTATCGTGGCTCATGCTGATCCTGAGACGCGCCAAATGCTCGAAGCAGCCGCTCAGGAACTTGGCCATGAAATTGTGGGCGTGTACGAGACGGGACGACAGATCATCGAGGGCTGTCGTCAACAACGTCCAGATATCGTCATCACCGGCGTCAAGATGGCTGAGATGGATGGCATCGATGCATTGATCGAAGTTGCCAAAGAAGAACCACTTCCCGGCATCCTAGTCACCTCGAATGCGGACATCGATCTTGTCGAGCGTGCCGTAGAAGATCATGTCATGGCCTATCTGGTCGAACCTGTTACCAAGAAGGATTTAAAGCCAGCGATCCATTTGGTGATATTGCGTTTCGAGCAGTTCCAAGCATTGCGCGAGCAGGTCGAGGACCTTACCGAAGCTCTGAATGCCCGCAAAGTCATCGAGAAAGCTAAGGGTATCTTGATGCGGCGAAATAGTTTGGACGAGGACCATGCCTATCGTCGGTTGCAGAAACTGGCGAGTGCCGAGCGGAAGAAACTCGTCGAAGTAGCACAGGCTCTAGTCACCTCCGACAAGGCATTGAAATGAAGATCTACGGCACTTCGGGCGTTCAGTCTATGGCGGTGGATGCCGAGATATCTCGATTACGAGCTGCACAGCAAATCCTACCAGGAAGATAAAGAAGACTACCCGAGCAGGCTGTGCAATGCCTGTGGTTAGCCCGCTAAAGCCGAAAAAGGCCGCAAGCAAGGCAACTACCAGGAAGATAACCGCTAATCGCAAATTGAAAGCTCCTCGACTCGACTGAATCGCCATCGAATACTCACATTTCCAACGGGAGGCTGGGTACAACAGATTTCTCTGTCGCCCAAAAGTGTGGCGTACAGTCTTGCGACGCGGGAAAACCCTGAGTGCACAAAAAAAGCCCGACCGCGGATCATGATCCACAGTCGGGCTATCGTAGGCCGACGTAAAAGTCCCGGGTGGGAACTTGTGCATTTATGGTAACGGAACATTCGAGTTAGTCAAGCACAGAACTGCACAATCGCTGCGTGATTACCACGGCTTCAGTTTCCAGCCCAAAACGAAGCCGATTCCAATGCAGATTAGGGCGGCCGTTTCAGGTTTTTGCCGGGCGTACGCTTTAGCGTAGTCGATTACATTATCCAGCGGCGCAATCTCGTGATACTCGGAGTTCCCAACCGTAGGCGTTTTCTCTCGATCCTGCGGTCGTAAAGCTTCTTTAGTGGCCATTCAACCATTCCTTTCAAACTGGGGCTATTTGATTGATTCGACAGAAGTTTTCACCGGTGATTGTTTTCGGCGGAGTGCTCGTTTTAACCAGGAGATGTTCTGCCGCAGCTCGAGTTTAGACCGAGCAAAAACATCCGTTGCGTGTTGAAGTTTGCGAGACGCGACATAAGCAACCAATGCCCCCACGCTAAATGCCGCGGCTGCGACAATTACCAATGCCCAGGCCATAGATAGTCCAAGCCAGGTAACAAAGTAGGCAGCGCCTAGTAAGGCGATCGGGATGGAGCTGAAGATCAGCACCACACTCAACATGATCGCGATCGAGGGTTTCAGGCAATTGCTCAGAGCTTCTCGGGTGTCTTCTATAAAAAGCTGCCACTGGAGCTCGGCGAGAGTCGTCGCATCGCCTAAAAGATCGGACACACCGCGGCGTACACCGACATCTTCTGTATGTCCATTGTGTTCGCTATTGCTTACCTTCGTCTGATTAACCATCGAACTGCTAGTCCTAATGTTAGGGCTGTTGCAAGCGAGGTACCCGGATATCTCGCAATTAGTTTCTCAGCAGAAACCCGTGAGCGTTGATACCAATTCTTTGTCGAGTTCTGCGTATCGCGCGTCTCCGCGGCTTGAGAAGACGAAGCAAGACCCAACCTTCCGCGTACCTGATGAAAATCGCCGATAGATGAAGTCTTCGCCGACATGGTTGTTCTCGACTTTATCGTGGCAATCGTGGAGGTACTTTCGCTGCTTCTTCCTTCAAATCATCTGCTTCAGCTTCAACTGCCTTGCGGGCTGCCAAATGAGATACCGCTGCGCGCAGCAAAGTACGTCCCAAGAAAAGTGCGGCAGCCCTGGCCAACCCAGACCCGGTCGATCCTTTGGCGGCTTCAGAAACAATCAGTCGATTTTTATCCGCTAAACGAGCCAACTGCTCCACATCGGGCTTTATTGGAGATTTCTTAGGCAGTATCAGAAACCCAGCGGCCGCAGCTGCACCCACGCACAGCCAGGGATGAGAGCGAACTTGGTACTTCCAGTCCATAAGCCTTTGTGTGCCGTCAACAATATGATCAACGTCACGGCCCAAAGCCTGACGCACGGTTGACATTTCACCCTGGATATCTTGTGGTGTTCGATTATTCATCGCCTTCAATCCGCAGACTTTAGTGGAGGTCTCCTTAGCTGTTATGTCTTGCCTACCGCCTCAGTGATGAGGGTATAGCCTGAGCTACGGCGTGCGAGACGGTGTCGCTAACTTGATTCAAAAAGCTAGTCGGCGTCTGCTGGCGATGTGCGTATTGGTCAAAGAGTAGGGAGCCTACTAGAGATCCAATTCCCGCTCCGGCAACGAAACTTAATGCCAGGGTTGACAGGGGGTGATCGGAGATCTGGTGAGCTACAACGCGTCGACCGTGCTCAATTGATTCGGCAATTCTTGATTCTTCCGTGCCTTCCAAGTTCCGTGGCAAGGCATCGGTGTTTGCGGTCTGTGTCTTGAAATCGGGATTCATTATTTCATCCTTGCTTGTTCAATGGGCAATTCGTGGTTTTGCAAGTATTTACCGTCGGAATGAACGCATTGCGACTAGGGCCAGCCCTGTAACAATCCCTGCTCCGAACGCTATGGCAAGTGATTCAGTCGGCTTGCGTCGCACATAACGCTGAGCCTCGGAATAGCTCTCTCGGATTTGAGCGGATGCGCGTTCGTAACCCTCTCGCATTGCCTCCACAGCCTCTTCTGAATACTGCGTTGTGGATTCTCGTAGCTGATGGAATTGGCTAGAAGCCTGATCCAAGCCTTCTCGAACAAACTTCTCTACAATCTCCCGAGCTTCGCCGGTCTTTTGCTGAACCGTGGAGATCAGCTCTTCAGCGTTCCCTCTGGTCTGTTGGAGATCTTCATCAGTTACGTCCGACCACTGCTCCCGAACTTTGCTCGAGAGGTGCGACCATTCATCGGCCGGAATCGTGCGGTTGCTGGATGTATTGGATGGCATGGCAGTAACTCCTGGAATTTCGTTCCTTGCGTTCACGACATTGGCGTGCGATAGGAGGCTACGTGCAACCTCTATGCCAGTTCACCGGGAACCCGATCGGAGTTCGTTTTCGCCAGCTAGGCTGGTCTAAAACTGCCTTTACCTCAACGAAAGGTTTGCCAGGTGTATTCAGAAAACCTGTCAAGACGTGCTGGAACTGTCTAGATCTGTTCGACCAGCAATCGCTCTGGTTGTCGATGCACCAGATTTCCCTGGCTGAATCCCCCCCATTGAGTTCGCGAGCGAATCAATGTGCTGGCTAGAACTTAGCTTGTACGCCTTGGTTAGCTATGAGCTACCGCCGGGAAGAATCGGCATACGAATTGCTGTTGTTTTTCAATATTCGATATGGTTCTCATCAATTCGCATCAACCGAGCCCCGGACTACTTCCAGGCAGGATGCGGACTACGAGCAGCGTCTTCATCACGGAGTGAACTCATGAACATTGAAACCAGGTCCGATCTGCGTAGCGAAACCGTGGCGAAGCTTCAAAAGCTCATGCAAGCAAATATCGATAGTCGAGACGGATTCCTGGAAGCTGCGGACAAAATCCACGACGAACAAGTGGCAGCCATGTTTCGAGAACTGGCCTTAGAACGGGCGAGTCGAGCGAGCGATTTGGGAAAGATCGTGGTCGCGAATGGCGAAGAGGCCAAACTCGAAGGATCGGCTATCGCAGCTTTGCATCGCTACTTCATCGACTTCCGTGCAGTGCTGAATGGTGGAAACACCTATGTCATCCTTGCTGAGGCTGAGCGTGGAGAAGACTACATCAAACATCTATACGAGGATGTGCTCAAAGAGACTGCGGGAAGTGCCGTTAACGACCTGCTTCAAGTACAATATGCAGCGGTCAAGAAATCACACGATCGGGTGAGAGACCTGCGCGACGCAAGAAAAGATGATTGACCGTCAGTCCCATCAATCCGCTTAGCATCAATTCAGTCTCGCTTTGATGTGATTGAACCATGCGAGATGCATTTGACAGGTTACCAGCAGAATAAGAGATCCTAGGGGTTCTCCGAGAAATCGCAACTGTCTTTGCATCGCAACTGTAGAGGTGAGTCAGGGATGAAGAAAGTAGTACTAATGGTTGTCGATGCACTGGCCTCAAGAGTCTTATTGCCGGCTCTGGAGAATAATTCTCTCCCAAATCTTAGCCGCTTAACAAGCGAAAGCGGTACGCAGGTGGCACCAGAATCGATCGCCGTCTTCCCATCTATTCCCCCCGCCGCGACAGCATCTATCGTCACGGGACGCTACCCGGCCGAACACGGAATTGCGGGGGCTTTTTGGCTGGATGAGGACAAGAATGATATCGCTTTTTATGGCGATGACTTTTGGGTCATTCTGAATGAAGGATTCTCAAAGTTTTTTGAAGACTTTCTCGTTCGTCTCAATGGCGATCGTCTGCAAGCAGCAACGGCCTTCGAGATTATCGAGAACTCGGATCGGACGGCTGGCTGCTTGAACTACTTGTGGTTTCGCGGGCTTGAGCGGCATCAGGTCAAAGTCCCCTTTTTGATTCGATTGCTTCCTTGGATTTCCAATAAGCATGCAGTCATGGGCCCGAAAACCTTGTCGCTCGGCGATTTCGTCTCGGATAATATCAATATCGATCCAGAGCCAAAAAATAGCGATGCGAAACGAGATTCTGGCGTCTTCCGACGCTACGGTTTCGAAGACAGGACCACTTCTGCCGAACTTATAGAATTGATGCGAGCCGGCTCTACGCCAGACTTCACACTCGCCTACTTTCCAGATAACGACTATGAAAGTCACTCCGCAGGACCTGAGAAGGCTTTTCCCATACTGGAAGCATTTGATCAAACACTGGGTGAGATGATCGAGGTGTGTGGTGGAGTTGAGCAATTGCTTAGTGAATATGCTCTAGTCATCACCGGCGATCACTCACAGTCCGACCTCGTCGAGGGTGAAGAGACGGGTGTTTCTTTAGACGAGTTGCTGAGCGATATGGCTATTGCTACGCCAGGAAAACCCTGGTCGGAAGGCGATGAGATTATGATTTGCCCGAACATGCGTGCAGCTCAGATTTATTTTCATTGCAATGACTCTAGCGTGAAACGGAAGGCGGAAGAGCATCTGCTCAAAGACGACCGTGTGGACCAAGTAATTTCCCGCACTCTGGCTACTGAAGACCCCGAGGAAGAATTCAAGGTTATGACAGCAGATCGCGGAAGCTTACGGTTTTGGCGTTGCGACGAGTCCTCTGCGATGGGTATTGATCGCTTTGGTAATGCTTGGTCCTGGGAGGGATCGCTCGAGACGATTGATGCGCACCACTCCCCTGCTGAAAAACGAATTCAGTTTGGAGATTATCCGAACGCCATGGAACGCATATCGATGGGCTTCGGTAAGCAAACTGGTGAGGTGTGGGTTACCGCTAAGGTAGGCTATGAGTTTCGCATGGCTGAGATGTCCGAGCACCCACGTGGCTCGCATGGTTCGCTGCATGGACTCGACTCAACTTCGCCCCTAATCGTTTGCGGTGCACCTTCAGAGTTGTCACTTCCGAGTCAAACCCGTGCGATCGACGTGTTACCGATCTGTCTTGAACTCCTTGGGATCGAGCATGAACTTGTCAATGAAAGGCAGTCTCACCTACTAGATGCAGGCGAGTGTCATGGCCGTTGAGACAAAGCCCGACGCTTCAGGGTCGGATGAGGGTTCGCCTGGCAGTGGCGTTACCGAGAAATTAATCTCTGATCGTCGCCTGGAAATCATACGTACCAGTTCCCTCGTCGTGATTGCGGGGTTAGGGACGTTGGCCGTTCTTTACGTCACTCGTTCAGTACTGTTTCCAGTCGTGCTGGCAATTCTTCTGAATCTGTTGCTCAGTCCGTTGGTAAACGCCTTGTGGCGAATCCGCATTCCCCCTCCCGTTGGTGCAGGCGTCATTGTGGGGATCACACTGCTAATCGTTGTGGGAGGTACGGCGTTGCTTGTGACTCCTGCCGCAGGTTGGCTCGATCGAGCTCCGGAGAGCTTCCGTGAAGTTGAGTGGAAGCTGCGTTCGATTCGAGAATCGTTCAAAAAGTTCGACGAGGCGACCAAGAAGGTAGATACGATGACCGAGATGGGAGGGGCAGACGAAGATGCTCCCATCCCAGTCGAAGTAAGACAGCCCCGCTTTGCAAATACCTTGTTGAACACCAGCGGCAGCATCCTGGCCGGGGCTTTTCTTACAACCGTGCTGCTTTACTTCCTGCTGGCCTCCGGTGACCGATTCCTTACTCGTCTAGTCGAGGTGATGCCCACTTGGCGAGAGAAGAGGGCCATGGTCGAACTGGCCCACAATATTCAACATGGAATGTCGGTTTACCTGCTGACCATCACCGGAATCAATGTTGGTCTGGGGGTGTGTATCGGTATTGCGATGTGGCTATGCGAGATCCCCAACCCAATTCTTTGGGGTACGATGGCTGCCTTGCTCAACTACATCCCCTTTGTAGGTGCGTTGGTGGGGGCCTGTGTAGTTGGACTTGTTGGGTTGTTGGAATACGACACTGCCTTTCAAGCCCTTATTCCGCCGGCCCTCTATATCGGCATTAATGCAATCGAAGCCAATCTTGTCACCCCAACGCTGCTCGGCCGCTCGGTGAGTCTGAATCCTGTGATGATCCTGCTTTCGTTGGCCATCTGGGGATGGATGTGGGGCGTTGGCGGAGCCATTATTGCGGTGCCACTCCTGGCGGTAGCAAAGATTTTCTGCGATAGCTTCACAAGCTTGCAACCGTTGGGCAGGTTTCTAGGCGACTAGAAATGTGCTTCGCTTCGACATGACCGGCGAAGTGAGAACTACGCTGCGTTACCTTCCGTCTCGGCATCCCCTGATTCGTAACTGTTGCAAATCACCTGCACGTACTCTGCGCAGAAGAAGATAACGGCCATCGCGTAGTAGACCCAAAGCATGATGGCGATGAAGGCGCCGACCACCCCATAAGCGTTGTACTTGTTGCCAATGACCAACGCCGCGAGAATCTGCCGGCCTATCTCCCAAGTAATTGACGCTAGAAGCCCACCTCGAGCAGCCTCGGACCAGCGGACGGGAACCTTGGGCAGGATTCGGTAAATCAGAGTAAACATGCCCCAGTTCAGAGCGAGCGTTACGACCAACTGAAGCGCAGTCCAAAACGTTCGAGGCAGGTGAAGAAACTCATCCCCCAGTGATGAGGCCCCCGTTACCGCGATTCCTGCGAAGAACGTCACCATCACTAGTGCACCTGCGCCAAGCAGCATGAGGAAGGCTCTCATGCGGTACCAAACTACTTGCTTGGCCTTGCTTACGATGCCTTTCTTCCCTGATCGGTCGACATTCCAGATTTGGTCGAAGGCGTTTTCGAACTGAGCAAAGATCATCACAGCCGTTACAAGCAACGAGATCAAACCGATGGGGCCATTGAGGGCAGCATTGGCTTGTACTTCGTTCAAGGTTGTACCGACTCGGTCGGCCAGGGAGGGGGAAGCCTGATCGCTGACAAACTCCAACAGTTGCCGCTGAGCATCTTGCCCCCATCCTGTTGAACGCAGTACGTAGCCGAGGCCCGAGATAAGAATGAGCAGCAACGGAAAGAACGAGAGCGCTGCGTAGTAAGAAACACTAGCGGCCAACTGAAGTCCGTTGTCCGACTGGAAATTCGCCCCGGCCAGCCTGAGCTGAGAAAAAAGCCTTTTGGGCCAGTTCAGTAGTATACCGATCATATGATTTCTCAAGCTGGAGCGGCAGCAGGTGGACTATCACTGGAGGTTCCTTCGAGATGGGAAGTACAGTTTGGGCAACGGCTGGCTTGATAGGCAATATTGGTTCTGCAGAAAGGGCATTTCTTGCTGCTCGGTGTTGAGTCGGAAGTCTCTTCCTGGTCGAACGCCTGTTCGATTCGCATGAAAATGCGAATCAGGATGAACATGGCCAGGGCCACGATAAGGAGCGACAAGACCGAGTTGGCAAATTGCCCATAGTTCAGCGTCACGGCTCCTGCCGCGGTGGCATCAGCTAGGCTGCGATAGGGGCCCTCATTCTCAGGTCCCGATTTCAGCGTGATGAATAAGTCGGAGAAGTCGACCCCACCGAGTGCTAGTCCGATCGGCGGCATCAGCAAGTCGTTAACCAAAGACTTGGCCACGGTGCTAAACGCTGCCCCTACCGTAAAACCCACAGCCAGATCAACCAGATTGCCCCGTAGTACGAAGCTCTTGAAGTCGTCCATCCAACTCATCGTTGAGTCTCCTGGGATTGCATGGGAAGAGTTTTCTGGCGTAGCAGGTCGGTGCCTTCCTCCGGTTCGCGAGCAGTCTCGGCCTGAGCCTCCACATCTTGCTTTTCACTGCGGAGGTTGCCTTCTGCTGGAGTGGAAACCTCGTCCGGCTCTTCCTCGAAGAAAGTTTCTCGACTGGAGCTTTCGGTCGTATCCTTCTTCGCCGCCTCCATATCCATCGTCTGGATTGGAACCCCATTTGGAAATACGACTTCACGGGCTTCATCTGGCAGCGAGATGTTCTCTTTCACAAAAGCTCGCTTCACCAGCCTGATTGCCGAAGAAATAACCCGAGGTGGGCTGTGTTCCTGCGAGTTGATCCAGAAGTAGACCCGAATGTTAACGGTTGCGGCTCCCAGGCTTTCAACCAGCACCATCGGTTCAGGGTCGTTGAGAACAGTCGGATGCCTTAGTAATGCTGATTGAGCAACCTCCTGGGCTTTGGCGATTGCCACGTCGTATCCAATGCCAATGGCAAAGTCGAGGCGAGTGCTCGAGTTGGCGGTGTAATTGAGAATGATATTCTTGTAGACGATGGAGTTAGGGATCTGAATGTAGGTGCCATCGTAAGCCATCAACAGTGTTCCACGAGTGGTGACTTTTTGCACAATTCCCAAGTGTTCGTTGACCTTGATGAGATCTCCGGTGCGAAATGGGTTCTGGACGCTGATTAGAAGGCTGGCCAGAAAATTCTCCGCAATGTCTCGAAATGCGATACCAATGATGAGCCCCGCAAGGCCAGTTCCGCCGAGCACAGTGAGGGCAAGTCGGGTGAGCCCCGCCACGTGAAGGACGATGTACAACCCAACAAGAAAAACGGGAATAGCGATCGCTTTCGCGGCCACATCCCGGAGAAGCTGGTTCTCGATCTGGCGGGAGAGAATGCTTCTGGCAAGACGAGACGACAATCGCGTGGCCAGAAACGTGAGAAAGAGAATGACGATCCCGACCACGACCAGTGGCAGTGATTGAATGGTGCTACGCCATAACGTGTGAAGCTGGGTGTAAGCCGGAGTGAAATTCCAGATTGGACCACTGACCACATCCACTCGGTTGACCACCGCCACTACATCTTGGGTCTGTTGTGCTAGTTTGGTTGCCCATTCTTTATATTGCTGTTGCGACGTTTCACCCTGGATGAAGACCACGCCGTTCTCGGCATCGACGGTCGCATTCGAGAACCACTCGGTGGATTTCAATATCTGCGAGAGCCGGGCCTCAATCTCCTCGTCTCGGGCCAGGGGTTGAACATCGACTTTTCCCGTGACAACAGCTTCCCCGTCGATGCTCGCATTATCGGGCGTCTGAGGCGGGGTGGATTTAGTGGGCTCGTCTTGAGCCTGCAGGGCGCAGGATGGCCAGTAGCAGGCGATCAAGGCAGTGACGAGGAGAGCCCGTGGCATTGCAAGCGTCGCCGTGCATTTGTGAGGCCTACTCATTTGTACGACCTCTCAATTCGCAGGGGACTGCGGGGAGTCATTGTCACCAGAGGCCATCGACTCCCCGTTGGCTTGCGAGACTGTCTGCAAGGGCTCTTTAAACGTGAGCGTGCGGTACGGGAATGGGATCTCGATATTCGCGTCATCGAGAGCGCGTTTTACACTGGCGACGACCTCGTCACGCGATTTACGCACTTCCAGTGGTGTTGGCCCAGTCCACCAGGTAACTTCAAAGTCAATACTTGACGCACCAAACGCCTGGGCGAATATCTCAACATCTTGGCCGGAGTCGATGGTCTTACAAGATTCCACAGCCTGGCGGATGACGGAGCGTGCCTCGTCAACATCTTCGCCGTAGGCAACACCGCATATGACGGTAACTCGGCGTCGTTTCCAGCTGGTGAGGATGTCCACCGGCTGTTTGAAGAGCATAGAATTGGGAACTACGGTTAGTTCCCCGTCCAGTCTGCGAATCTTAGTCATGCGGATCGTGACATCTTCAACTTTGCCCTCGATTCCGTTGCATTCGATGAAATCGCCGGGGTCGAAAGGGAACCGCCATAAAATCAGAACTCCCGCGAAGAAGTTCTCAAAGATGTCCTTGAACGCGAAGCCAATGGCCACCGATCCCAGACCCAGAGCGGCGAGAACTTTCGCTGGCGTCATGTTGGGAAACACTATGACGGCCGCCACAGTCAGTCCGAGTACCCAAATTCCAATCTGCACGAAATGGCGGAAAAGATCTTTCAAACTCGTGCGCAGGCGGGTTCGTTTCAACAGCCGGGCTGCAATCTTCGTCGCCAAGCGGGCAGCAATCCAGGTAAGAATCATGACGATCAAGCCTGCCAATAGTTGAGGCAAGTGCGTGAGAAAGTCAGTCCATAACCCCCACACGCTATTCAAGACGACGCTCAGAGTTCCTTCCCCATCAAGGGCTACGTCGTGTTCTCCAGTTGTGGCTGGCGTTGAAGTGTGCGTTTCTTCGTTCAAGTTAGGCATCGTTTTCTCTTAGGGTTCATCTCTGCTTAGCTGCAACATAACGCGTTCTGATTATGGGCGTCGACGGCCTCCAGAGAGCAATGCCAAGACGGCAGCAAACAAGGCCGCGCCAATGATCGACCACAGGATGGGAAACGGTTCATCTCCCACTTGCAATGTGAAGAGCATGGGCAAATCGAACCGGCGAGCCAGCCAGGTACCAAGTAATGCACCAATGAAACCCAAGGCGATCGAAACAAGGCAACCACCGCCTGAGATGCCCACAAGCGATCGGGCAATACTGCCGCATATTCCTGCCACAAGTAGCAAGATTATAAACTCAACAATTGTCATGCGTCGTCCTCTCAGGCTTGGCTTGGTTGATTGGTTGTATCTGGTTCTTCGCGCTCTTCCATGGCATGAAGTGGTTCATCACGATCAAAGATTCTTAACAGCTGGTCGTACTCGTTTTGAAACAACTTACGGTCGGATTCTTGATGATGGGCCAGGGTCGAGGCATCGATGATCATCGATGCATGTTGAAGAATTGCTTGGCGGTCTTCCCCTCGCTCGACGAACTGACTCAGCACCTGCAATGTGGTGAGCAATCGCAATAACACTGCAACGCTCTCACGGCCGTAGTGACGGATTTCGTCAAATGAAGCCCGCAACACGTCTGGAAAGGTTGTAGGAGGAGCGATAAGACGCAGCTTGCCGTCGTGGTCGTATCGCGACGCCGAAGGAATCTTACGGCCCGCAAGTCTGCTCAAGGATGCACCCAGGCGGTCGATGCAGGTCACGGCTGTCAGAGGAGCATTAATGCCTGGCGAAAGTGCACGAACGGCAACCTCGACGATCTCTTCAACTGTACAAAGAACGTCTTGCCGGGGCGTCCGTCGAGTGCCGTAAATGAGCGTGTCGTTCAGTTCTTCCGATACTTCATCGGATAGGCGAGTTGCAGGCCAGATTTTGGCGACAGCGGTGTTCTTGAGAACGAAATCGCCAGGCCTTTTCCCAAGTTCAATGACGAGATCATGCTCCTTAGCGAGGGCGATTAGTCCGTTAGAGTCGATGGCTTGAAGGTATCCTTCGTGTTCCGCCAGTAGTGGTGCAAAATTACTCCCGAGCACGACTCTCTTAGTGGCTTCATCAATTTCCTGGTGCGAGTCCTCCGCAGGACTTCCAATTTTTTCTGGGAAGAGCCTTTCAATCGAATCGTCCAAATCGGCTCCTAAGGAAGCCAATATTTGTGGTGCTTGGATCGAAAGGGCCATGTGATGAATGAATAGGATCAAAGCCCCCATACTGATCAGTACCATCACGACACTCAGCAGCACAGATAAGTGGGGAACGAACGAGGTGCCCTGGATCTCGCGCACGGTCCGCATGATTAGAAAGCAATACAGACTGGTGCCAACCAGCATTCCGATGGTGACCTGAGTCGTTCGGTCGTCCATGAAATTGCGGAGCATTCGTGAACCGAACTGCGACGAGGCAATCGATAGCGCTACCACTGTGATAGAGAAGACCACACCGGTGACGGTGATCATGGCTCCGCCGATTGCGGAAAGCACCGGGCGGGCGGCATCCGTGGTGGTTTGAGCCCAGGGGGCTTGATCGAGAATTAACGATTCGGCACTGGCGTCTACCATCGGCATGCAAAAGCCAAGTAGCACTGCGAATAGGACGAAGAACGACGGAATAAACCAAAAGCCAGAACGAAAGTCGTCCCACACCTTCCAAAAATAAGCCCGCATTCGATGCTCCCGCAGGACAACGCGGAGCGTTTGCTCCCCGCGAAAAGAGGGTTAATGTCTGCCATAAAGATGCAGATTATGTGCCACCAACGCGATGCCAAGAATGAAATTGTTCTGGCCGTGGCGCGTAACGTGTTGGCAGAGAACATCTTAGGAATTGCCCGTTGCGGATGGGGCACGCCGAGTCTTTAGCTTTGGCGCACCACTAGCACAACCAATGATCGCTCGGAGTACAGAGCGTTCGACAAGAGTTCGCGGCAGAAGCTGAGCGTGAATACTCTCTGCTAAATACACGCCGTATGCATCTCGATCAGTCGTTCTCTTCGACGCGTACCGATTTATCAACCGTGATTGAATACGCTGCGATGCGATCGCGAACTTTTCCGCGAGTAATTCCTAGTATTTCAGCGGCTTTCGACTGATTCCCATCGGTCTCCTGCAGAACCCGGGCAAACAAGTAGCGTTCCATCATTTCAACGGTTTCGTTGTAAAGGTCTTTTGACCCTTCACTGAGCCGGCCCTCCACAAAGCTTGCCAACTGAGAGTTTGAAAGTTCGGTTTCACCTTCGGTAGTGCTCCCCCCCCCTGCTCCGCTAGTCTTTCCATCCGGTGACTTGGAAATTCCCCGAATCTCGTCTGGCAGGAATGAGGGGACGATCACGGGGCCTGATGCGTTGAGGACCGAGCGTTGAATCACACTCTGTAGCTCACGGACATTGCCTGGCCAATTGTGGGACGACAATACCGCGAATGCCTCGGGTGAGATCCCTTCAATGTCATGCTTGCCAAGCTGAGCGCGGGCCTGGGCGAGAAAATACTCCATGAGTTGGGGAAGGTCGTCCTTGCGAACGCGGAGGGGAGGTAACGAGATCGTGACACCGTTTAACCGGTAAAGCAGGTCAGAACGAAATTCTCCCTCCTCTCCCATTTCTTCGAGATCGCGGTTCGTGGCGGCAATCAAGCGTACGTTCGTCTCGATGGTTTCATTTCCACCTAACCGCTCGAAGCGTTGTTCCTGAAGAAGACGCAGCACCTTGCCCTGCAGTAGCGGGGACATATCGCCCACCTCGTCGAGGAACAATGTACCGTTGTGGCACTGCTCGAACTTTCCGATGCGACGCCGATCGGCACCGGTGAACGCACCCTTCTCATGGCCAAAAAGTTCACTTTCCAGCAGCGTGTCTGGCAATGCCGCACAATTGACCGCCATGAACGGGTTTTGAGCGCGATGGCTGTGTTGATAGATTGCCCGGGCAACCAGTTCTTTGCCGGTTCCACTCTCGCCACGAATAAGAACCGTGACATCTTGAGAGGCGACACGTCCGATGGCTTTGAACACTTCGAGCATCTTCGAACTGCTGCCAATGAAGGCCTCGCCTTGCTCATTGGCTTCGCCACCGCTGCCCACGGCCACCTTAGTCTTCATTAACCGACGCGTGTCGATGGCCTTTGTAATAAGGTCATTCAAAGCTGGCAGGTCTAGCGGTTTCGCAATGTAGTCGAAAGCCCCCAGCCGCATCGCTTCGATGGCCACGTTGCTGGAGTTGTCGGCAGTGATCAATATTACGGGCAACCGCTTATCGATCTCCTGCAGTTGGGTGAACAGCGTCAGGCCCGAGGTTTCGGGTAAGACGATGTCGAGGACCACTGCGTCAGGAGGAGATTCTTGAATCGCGGCCAGCCCCTCTTTTGGGTCTTGGTATCCGGCTACATCGATATCGATCTTCTCGAGCGAGCGAGAGACCATGTGCAGGACAGTTTTGTCATCGTCAATGACTACTACGTCGGCCATTGCAGAGCCTATCTATCAGATACTAGTTTTGGTCGCGAGTGAGCGTGGGTGAAGCCAAGTCAAACCCATATTATCGGGCGAGGCTTGTCGATTTTGTAGGCCAAAAAAGATCAATGGGATCACAAGTTTGGTGCAGAAGTTATGGAGCGATTTGACACGGCAAGGTAGGTGTCGCCGCGCTTCGTCTAAGGTTTCTATTGGTAATCTTTCAGGGCCTCGGTCACTTGAGAAATTGCCCCCCGAAGGCTGGTTACCTTGGCGTGGATCCCGTTCCATTCCGCACTTCTTCCTGCTGTCTCAACTTCCAGTGCGGCCTCGATTGCCGCCTGAGCCCCGAAGTTGGAGGCCAAGCCTTTGAGGCTATGTGCTGCTCTGGCGACTTGCTCGTCTTCACGCTTGGCCACACCGGCATCGATATCATCCAGCAGGCTTGGGGCGTCTTCTTCGAACAGTTGCACCAGCTCCAGGAATAAGTCTTCGTCACCGCCCAGGCGAGCCAATGAGGCCTTGTAGTCGATGGACACGGGTTCATTCCTCACATCCGGTTTCGTTATGCGTTCTGTCTGCGGGCGCAATTTCGTGGCCTTTCGCACGCGTCGCTCGACTAAACGAATTAAATTTCTGGCATCGATGGGCTTGGAGATATAGTCGTCCATCCCCGCGGAAAGGCACCGCTCGCGATCGCCTTCCATCGCGTGGGCGGTCATCGCGATAATGGGGATGTGATTGTTGCCATCGCTCTCTTCCGACTCGCGAATGACGCGTGTAGCCTGGTATCCGTCCATCGTGGGCATCTGCACGTCCATTAAGATGACATCAAAATTGTGCTCCCAAAATAGGTCAACAGCCTCTCTCCCGTTCTGAGCGATCTCGACATAGTGACCACGCTTTCGAAGAATGGCCTGGACCACCTTCTGATTTGCAGCTGTGTCCTCAGCTACCAGAATACGTAAGGTTCGATTGACCGCGGGCTGCACCTCTGTGGCGTTCAGGAAGTCTAACGGTGGGCCATTCAGGCCTGTCATGATCGCGTCCAGTAAATCGCTCTGGGAAATCGGCTTCTCCAGGAAGTTGTCGATGCCAATCTCGTCACAGCGGTCTTGGAAGACCTGTCGATCTGCAGAGGAAAGCATCAGCACCGTGGACCCTTCCAGCGTGTTGTCTTCTCTTGCCTTCTCCAGAAGGGTGACGCCATCCACATCTGGCATCAGAGCATCTACAATCACCAGCGGATATCTCTGGCCATCTTTTTGACTAGCTTGTAGTTCTTCGAGTGCGCGGTTGGCGTCTTCGACAATGGTTGGATTCATCGCCCAGTTAGTGAGCATTTCTTCCAAGATTCGGCGATTCGTAGCGTTGTCGTCCACGACTAACACGGGCAGGTCACGAAGTTGAGTGACCAGGCTCGGATCTTCCGTTCTGCCTTTAGGTCGGGAAGTGGTACGGAATGGAAGCGAACAATGAAACCGGCTGCCTTCCCCTGGGGTGCTGTTTACCCAGATTCTACCACCCATCTTGTCGATCAACTGTCGGCAGATTGTAAGCCCCAAACCAGATCCGGAGTATTTGCGAGTCGTCGATGCGTCGGCTTGTGTGAAGGGGGCGAAAATACGCGCACGATCTTCGGCGGCGATGCCAATTCCCGTGTCGGTGACGACAAACTCTATTCGTACCACGTCAGCGGCCACCGATTCCACGGTGGCACTGATCACGACCTCGCCACGCTCGGTGAACTTGATGGCGTTGCCGGTGAGATTGGTCAGAATCTGCCTCAACCGTCGGCCATCCCCCTCGACCCAGGCCGGCACATTGCTGTGAATGTAGCAGGCCAACTCCAGTCCCTTTTCAGACGCGCGTAAGGACAAGGCCTTGGCTGCTTTATCCAGTGTTTCCCGCACATCGAAGGGTTGGGGTTCGAGTTCGAAGGTCCCAGACTCCATACGAGAGAAGTCGAGCAGATCATTCAATAGGAACAGCAAGGTATCTGCGGAACTCTTGACGGTTTCCAGATACTCTTGAACTAAGGGGGCAATGTCTTCCTCAAGAGCGAGTTCCGTCATGCCCAGAATTGCATTCATGGGCGTCCGCAGCTCGTGGCTGATGTTCGCTAAGAAGTGGCTTTTTGCCTCACTCGCAGCTTCCGCAGCCTCCTTTGCCGTGGCCAACTCGCGTTCGACGGCCTTGTGCTTCGAAATGTCAGCAGCAAAACAAATGATGTTACCGCCAGAATCAATTGCAGTTGCTCCAATTAGAATGCTAACCCTGGAGCCATTGGCCAGCTGATATTCTTTCTCATATGGGTCGCAAGATCCGCACTCTTGGATCTGGACGAGCGCGTTATCGTCAGCTTCGACGAATTCCGCAGGGGTGATTTTTCGCCAGTCGCATTCGCCCGCCGCCAGCTGCTCGCGCGTGCAACCAATCATATCGAGGAATGCTGCATTGGCTTCCAGGATGCGCCCGGATGGTTCTACAACGCAAACCCCGATGATGTTGGCTTCCACCAGGGTTTGGAAGCGTAATTCGCTGGCCTTGCGGGCATCCTGTGCTCGCTGCATCTCGCTCATGGCTTGGTCCGAGGCATGCTTGGCACTCTCGGCTTGGCGTGCCGCAACTCGAGCTTGTTCGCGGGTACGGTGCAATGCACCGGCCAGAACGCTGATTATGATGCCTTCTGCGATGAACTCAATCAGAATCAAGCGTTGGGAGGCGCTCTCAACCCAGAGTGAAAAACGGGGAGTCGAGAAGAATTGATCGCTAAACACAGCGCAGATCAGAGTGCAAAAAATCCCAGCCCGAAGACCTCCGTACCACGCCGAGACCATCACGGCCGCTGAGAAGAGTGCAAATGGGGCTTTGTCTTGGGTCGCTACGGGGTCAAGGGCAAGCTTGAGGAGCAGCGCTGCCATCGCTGCAGCGAGCGCGATCCCGTAGCGAATCAACGTTTCACGCATTACTCACCGTTCCTGTGAGATTTGTTTCGTTCCAAGGGCAGTGTCTTACACAGTAACAATGTAGGCTGCAACGAATACCTGGCCACGTGCAGCTGTTCTCTCGTTTGATCGACGAATGTTTTGAGCATTGGTTTCTGGCACAGGTGCGATTCATT